GTAGTGAAGTAATTGGATGATCTTTGCATTATACTGCAAGGCGATTGAAGTTGAGATTATACGATTGTACCCCGACCGAATAGTTATAACAGGTAAAATCTTCACCGTGAAACCTGAATGTCATGGGTACACAATACTGAGTAGTTCCATAACAACTATCTAGTAATACTTATTTTTAAGTAGCGCCTCAAATAAATCACTATATTAGTATGATTACTTCCTCTTCACTCCTTTTTCCAAGTTATTTTTATATTTGTTATGAATTAACACTTACTGATGACATAACCTCTAATTTACCTCAACATAAAACTGTAAATCCTTTGATTATAGCTAGAGTCAGCTCTACTTCTCCAAAATACTCTCACATGGCCATGTACATTCAACCACTGATACGGAACTCCTACTCACTACCTTCTCGCACCACGGGTGTTGTTTAAGAAATTAAGAGGACGAAAAGCGAATGCCTGGAGCTTTATTAGGGATGATAGATAGGGAGAGTTCACCCTGATTCCAAATCAATGGTGAACATGGGCTCCAGGATCCTGAGGGAACAAATGCCGTATGAACCAATCGTTGGTCATCGGCTACCATGGGACTGAATCTTCTGACGTTATTCCACTCCCTTGTGGATTAGACCGTTGAGTCAAAGGCTCTGAGTATTTCCCCGCTAAGAAAACCACCTATTTGGGTGTGACATACATAAAATGTTTTCCTCAGACAATATTAAGGAACCTTTCCTTAACATAAACTAAACAAAACGATTCATGAATTAATGATAACAACGACAAAGGATTACGTAGTTAATCATAACAAGAAAAATATACAAACTGATAATAAGGCAGGTGTAGCTATGGTTATATGAATAATAAACGATATAATAACATGAATACATATTTCGACATAGCAACTAACAGAATACATCTATTAAGACATTTTAACGCAATCCTTAAGGAAGGTAACCTTCGCATTCACTTCCGCAAGTTTGATAGAATAACGCAGAAACTCATTAAGTTCCTTTACAGTCGAAGACTCCTGGGAATGTTTTTTTCTTATTTAATAGCAACTAACGTTAAAAACTTGAGAAAATTCTTCAATGAAGTAGTATTGATGTGTGTGAATAATCAGCTTATATATGAAAGGAGTGAATTGAGATAAATAAAGGATAGAAAGAGTATATAAACACGTCTATTGAATTTTATTTAGTCAAACAAAGAACACTTGCACAAGCAATTAGCTAACAGGACTTAGTAGCTGAGTGGATAACGCGATGGTGTTTGAGAAGAATGATACTGAGTTCGAGTACCAGAGTGAATATCAACAAGTCTGAGATGCAGGTAAATCCATCTGACGACTCCCAAATAGGACAAAACGCGCGTCAAACTGGATTCCACTGCTAGTCACTATCCATCACTGCTTACACTATAAAAGTCTTGTGAATTAAGGCAATTTCGAGGCATACACACAGTATGCATATATGCCAATAACAGACGGATCAATTGCAGTCTTAAACCTCAATGGGAAGATACAAGCCCAACAATACGAAGTGAAAGAACAGAGATATTATATACTTCTTTCATATATATGAACTAGAGTTGTTAAGGTGATTCCTAATAAATTTCAATATTTTTTTGACCGTTTTTAAATTGCATTGAGAGATTTCTCGCTAACTAGGTGGATCATTTGCTTAGTAACAGATTGTCCTATGTCCTACTGATTTTTCACATACTTCATTTTGGTGATAAAACCTTGTAAAATTTATTATAAAAACCCATTAACGTTCGTACAAATGACTAATACTACTACTGTAGTGAAGGAGAACACAAGTGGGGACAATCGAATACATTACCACTGAGCTATACCCCCCTCTTCATTTTTCTTCCATTTTCATATCCATTACTTTCTGTTCCCATTCTTTTTTTCTCGAGACTATTCTACCAGACATTCTAATCCTGATTATCTTTATATAATACTCAGATCGATATAAGTAGCACATACCACACAACTAAACCTAATTACACATTGCATCCAAAATATACAATTTATCTTATTATCAGTAAATGAATAAATAGTGAATTCACTTGGTGTTGTTTTACTTGTATCTTCCCATTGTTGTTTAGCACTGCAATTGATCAGTCTCTCATATTGGCATATATGTGCATACTGTGCGTATCGCCTCGATATTGCCTTAATTTACAAGCATTCTAAGCAAAGATGGATAGTGGCTAACAGTGGAATCCAGTTTGATGCGCGTTTCGTCCTATTTGGGACTCGTCAGTTGGATGTACCTGCATCTCAGACTTGTTGATATTCACTCCGGGACTCGAACCCAGTACCGTCCGCTTCAAACGCCATTGAATTATCCACTCAGCTACTGAGTCATGATAGTCACCTACTTGTGCAATGAGGTGAATTTAAATTCACTTGGTATTGTTTGGCTTGTATCTTCTCATTGAGGTTTAAGATTACAATTGATCTGTCTGTTATTGGCATATGTGCATACTATGTGTATTGCCTAGATATTGCCTTAATTCACAAGCTTTTATGCACGTCCTAGATTACACTGCTAGCCACTATCCATCTTTGCTCATAAAATAAATAATGAATTTATCATCTTTGAACTAATCAAAAGTATAAAAATGTAGGGGGGGGGGCTGGCGGACGGTCGGTAAACATAAATTACATATCCATTAATAAAATAATGTAAACATTTACCGGTTTTTTTTCAAAAAAAAAACTCTTTTTATGATCAAGTAAAATGTGGTTAAAAAATAAATAAATAACTTGGGAAATTCTTCTGGAAAAATGGGGGAATAAAAAGAGTGAGAGTGTATATGTCTGTCTATCTATAATGTGACCTTGTGTGTGTGTGCATGTTGTGTCTATCTCTCCATCAATCAGCTGTTTGTATAAGCATCATATCTAGATATATACAAATTATAAACAGATAAATTTACATAAATCAAAGAATAGACATTCATGAAAGAAAATGGGTTTATTTTACATTTCTTTTGTTCTAAGATAAGATCTTCACAAAACATACATACATACATGGTACGGTGTTACTCCACCATCGTCTACAATCTCCCCCCTTCCCCCCCCCAAAATGTATCTTGGATAGAACAAATAACTTAACATAAATAAATAAATAAATAAGTGAACATTTCTATTGTAGTACAATTAGTAAACAATAATAATAATAATAATTGAAGTACACATTAATATGAACAATTTATTATATGCAATACATAGTACTTATTTCGATAGTGCACTATATATGATTACATAGATAAGTGTAATAACTAAACATATAAGAGAACACTCTTAGTCCTCCTCCTCCTCCTTCTCCTCGTTCATCTTCACCTTCTACTGAATATAGATATTTAAGTAGTATTTTTTATAGAATGATGCCTTTTGGCTAATAAATAATTTATTATATTTGGATAATCATGATAATTATAGTATCCGAGATAAATATAATCAGATAACCATATGTTTATGTAGATAAATTAAGAAGAAAAAAAGAAAAAGGAAAAGTCGGAAAGAAAAATAAACATAAGAAAAATCAGTGTGTGTGTGTGAGAGAGAGAGAGGTTTTTGTGAATATGATAGTAATTTTTAATAGTTAAAATTATGAGTTAATTGAAGTTAGATCATGATAAAAAACTTGAAAGTACTGGATGGAGATTTCGTTCTATTGTGAGACTTCTTAGAAGTGAACATTCACAATCTTATCTTGTGAGATTTAAATCCAGGACCTATTGGTCTCTCGTATCTAGACCGCTGAGTCAGCTGGCATCCGACGGTGTTAATGTTTAAATTTAACCAATCCACAAAATTGCGCCGTGACCAGTGGAGTTCAACCGCGTGGCCTGTTGTGAGATAGTAACTCACTGAAGACAATGGTGGATGTGTCACTCAATTTCGTGGATTAGTTGAAGTTGGACATTAACACCGTTGGATGCTGGATGACTCAGTGGTCTACAAGTTAAGCGTTTGCGTGTGCGACCAATACGTCCTGGGTTCGAATCTCTCGAGGTTAGATCGTGATTGTGCACTGCTGAGGAGTCCCACAAAAGGATGAAACAACTGTCCGATGCTTCCAGGTTTTCAATGATATTCTAGCTTCAATTGACTGATGATCTCAACTATTAATATTCTATATAACTTAAAACAATCTATATAGTGAATGAGTTCAATAAATTTATCCTAACTTGGTTCAAGTCCCAGTGTGAACATCAACAAATTTGACGTGCAGGCAAATCCAGCTGACAAGTCTCAAATAGGATGAAATGCGCCTCCTGTATTCCACTACTAGCCACTATCTATCTTTACCTAGAATATGGTACATATATGTATCAATTCAATCTATCAAATCATATCAGGATAATCCAATTAAACTATCACGATAAATACTGCATTAATAAAAGTTATAACAGTATCAGTGATAGTAGAACATATTACGAATAGACGATATGATTCAAGAAAAAAGAATGAAATTGGTTAATAGAATATACAAGATGGTTTTACAGTGGCCTAGTTGGTTAAGCGCCTGGCGCGAGACTGATAGGTCCTGGGTTCGAAGCCCGCGGGAGGGATCGTGGATGCGCACTGCTGAGGAGTGCCATACTAGAACGAAACGGCCGTCCAGTGCTTCCAGGTTTTCCATGGTGTTCTAGCTTCAATCGACTTATGATTTCAACTATTGAAATTCGATATCTAGAGGAAAGATAAAGAATACATGTATCTTCATTATTTCAACTGATTCTAATTCATATCACCCCACCTAATGACTCCATTCAGGTAGTATGCAATTCATAGCTACCATCTTACAGTTTCATTCCATTATGGATTATGATGACGTCATTGTTAGTAAATACAACTGACAGGTCATTGACTAATGCATTGCATAATTAGTACTAGATGTTATGAAATCAATTATATCCATGGTAAATGTTGTACATTGAAAAATAAGCACACACCCACGTATATATTTCACTCACCTTATGTAATTGGTTAACGATATTGTTATCTATATTTGTTTGTTGTTTAGATATTGAAAATCCTGTTGTAGAAGAAGGAGTCGGAAGAGAAGATGTTAGAGGATATGATAAATTACTATTATTGGATTTCATTTGTACAGATTGATTTAAACCCATAATAGGATGTGATATAGAACATGATTTTAATCCTACTACCTCTGATATTGTTGATACTGTTGATGTTTTCAATGGTAAAGATGATGAAACACCTTCAGTAATTATTGTTGAATTAGGAAGTAATGATTGATTAGTTCCAGTTAACTCATTTAATTGATTAGCTAACCTATCACGTTCTTCAATGACACATGTTAATTGAGCTTGCATATTGGATATAATTGTTTCATATTTTATACACTGAAAGAGAGACAAATAGAAAAAAAAACAGTTATAAACATATCAGTAAATAAGTAGTATTTAGTATCAAATTTGAATTCAGGATTAAATCTAAGCTAGAACACCATTGAAAATATGAAGGCATTTGGTGGCCGTTTCGTCGTAGTGCAAGACTCATCAGTAGTGTGCATCTAAGATCCCGCGCGAGGAAGTCTAACCTCTAGACTGATACGCTTCAACTCTGGAAATGATATAATCTTTATAAATCCCCATACCAAAAAATTGGATATGTTACGTAGATGACGCAATCATTATTCGAGGAGAGACGAATTGGAAAGTAATCACAAGTTATCTAAAAATATCTTTGACGATATTTAATTTATAAGAAATGAAAATTCAAAAAATAAAATATCTTTTTCACATGTCTTAATCAACAGAATGAACACAGGTAACCTTAGAAACACAAGTATACATAAAGTCAAGCCATATGAACCAAATACTTGACTACAATAGTAACAATCGAACAGTACAGAAAAGTCAAAACCATTCGAAGCACCGTCGCTATACACGAAGAACTAAGGAAACCTATCTATCTGTTGCCTATAAAAATGGCTACCACAGCAAATCGATCAAAAGGTGTGTGATTGATCTGTATACCATTAAAAAGAAATCAACATCGGAAACCAAAAAACAGATCATTCCACCATATGTGTAAAATATAACAGAAACTATTGGATTCATCCCATCGCATAAGCAAGTGTCTATCAGGATTCAGAAGCTGAGTGGATCACGTGATGGTGTTTGAAGCGAATGGTACTGGGTTCGAGTCCCAGGGTGAACATCAACAAATCTGAGATGCAGGCACACCCAGTTGACGAGTCCCAAATAGGATGAAACGCGCGTCAAACTAGATTCCACTGCTAGCCATTATCCATTTTTGCATATAATGCTTGTGAATTAAGGCAATACGCATAGTATGTACATATGCCTATAATAGATTGATCAATCGCAGTCTTAAACCTCAATGGGAAGATACAAGCAAAACAATACCAAGTGAGTTATTCGAAGGATTCTGAAACTTTTTGGGGACCAATGACGCTTACAAACTAACGGGATTAAAAGCCAACAGCAAAAGTGGACAAATTCAATATCATCTACAAATAAATTATACTAACTACAAGAAATGTTACATTGGACAAGATGAACACCCGTTTCATTTAAGTATATACAATCACAAGTTTGGAGTGAAAGGACACAATATTTTACCATAGATATTAATGTACATAGAAAACTACAGACATGAATTCAATCGGGAAATAGTAGGAACTCAAGATTTAGAACATTCTAAGAACATCATTCGGATCAGTCCCCAGTCAATAGACACATCGATCTAGATCTATAAACCTACAAGAAAAAGATCAATCAATCACATGATCAGTGAAATAGGAAGATAAAGCAAAATAGACAATAAGATCTACGAAAACCATCTGTTACAAACAAAGACATCGGAATAAACTGATTCGAACGCTTAAGGAATAACTAATTTCTATACAAAATAGATCTTGATGATATCGTCCTTTGTTACTATGATAGTTACACGATTAAACTAACCATCTAACATACAAATCACATCCCTAACTCACAAAAACATATCATTATTCCATATGACATAGGGGATCGGTTTACAAATCAATAATTTTCTAAAAAAAATACTGCTTTTGTAACTAAGGCGAAAAGAGTTGAATATGGCAAAATAAAAACCATGCTCATTAATTGGGGAATAAATTTTTTAAATATAGAAATATGAAAGTAGGGAGGGGGGCGGATAAGAGAATGTGATAGGATAAAGATTTTCTTTTTTATATTGGGTTGATTAGATTTTAAATGTTACCTAGGCAACAATAATTCATAAATTATTTCACTTAACATTGACTGATTAGTCTTATCTCCAGCTTATCTCAATTTAGTATAAAGATAATTAATAATAAAAGAAGTAAAGTAATAGGAAGTACACTTTGATTTTTATCGTTGCTATAAGCAACTGTATTCCACTTCATTGAGACAGTAAACTGTTATTATTATAATTGAGGAGGAAACAACCACACACACACACACAGACGTACATTAACATATTAAAGAAACTGTTTAAGAATCTAGTTTGGAATTTCTCATTTTTTTTAAAACATCACTTGAGACATCAGTACAATCAAAGGATAAGTAAACATTTTAAGAGTTAGCCCTTTATATATATATATATATATATGTAGAGATGGATGATGGCTAGCAGTGGAATTCAGAACACATATCACTTCGTCCTATTTGTGACTCGTCAGCTGGGTATACTTGTATCCGAGAGTTGATGTACACCCTGGGACTCAAATTCAATACCGTTAGCTTCAAACACTAACGCGTTCCCCACTTAACAACTAAGTTCATTGAAATTTAATTCATTTTTGTATTGGTTATTTTAATCTTCTCATTGATATTCAGGATATTAAATCAATTGTATTTTAATAGTATTACTCACTAAGTTGATAATATTAAGATTGTATACTCGATTCCAAGTAATGTGAATGAGTTGTGATTGATAGATTTTTAAATCTGAACCAATTGTGACATGGTTACATTGTGTAATATTCATGTCAGGTTTTTGTGAAATGTTCAGGTGTTATGATGGAGATCAGTTATTCATTATATGGATTGACCAAAGTTGCTGTACCACATTAGTACGATAAGATAAAACTTGAATAGAGTAGGATAATGTAAGAACAATGATAATGAGAAAGACTAAACACTAAAAATATGGTTCGAGAAAGTGAGAAAAGTGTATGAAGGAATACTATAGCTCAAGAACCAGAGAAAGATGAACAGTGAATTTATCTGCACCATTTTGACTGATTATTAATCAGATTAACCAGCGTCTCTAGCGATTGATCGTGGTTACTGTGCTCACTTCTCTACCAATGTAGCTCGCGTCTATCAATATTCTGATCAACAACCAACGACTTCAGACACCAAGGTTAGACTTTGATTTGGAAACCCCTAACTTTCTTCACATCATCTGGATTCTTGTATTGATGTTCACATTAAGATCATTATTGAAAACATTCAGCCAAACATGTAATATAGTGTAATATATAGACGATTTCTTTTAGACTCTTATTGATTACACATAAAGATTCACATATAGTATGGCATCAAAAACAAAAGTGTCACACACAAGAAAAGGATAATATGATGCAGAGAAAGAAGATGGAAGAGTTTTACCACCAATAAAGATTTAACTTAGTTATAGAAGACAACATTAATTATGTAAGTAATGTAATAGAAAAGTAGAGTGAAATCATCAATAGCTTCTATGCTAAGCCTTGTCTGATAATGTCTCAAGTTACTGAGTTGTACGATCTCTAGGATCCAACTGGAAAATAGTGAAAAATCAATAGACTCCAACCCTATACAGCTCTCTTTCATATCACCGCTTCATAATATAATGTTGTCACAGGATTTCAATAATGCTTCAGAGGCAAAGATCATCGAATACAGAGGGCTACTACACATAAAGCAAACATTTTGGCTGCCTAATCAGTCATAATGAATATAAGGCCTGGAACAAATGTATTTGAACTGCATTGTCACAATGTATTAATAAAGTGAGGTAAATTTAACAAGATAAATAGTGAAAAATTGATATAATGGTAGTCAGTAATGGTCAAGTGAACTAAACATAGAAAATGTGACTCAAAAAAAGTTATTAGTATTAGTATTGGTTGAAATCATGAGTCAATTGAAGCTAGAACACCATGGAAAACCTGAAAGCACTAGACGACCGTTTCGTCTTAGTATGGGATTCCTCAGCAGTGCTCACCCACGATCCAGCCCCCCCCCGTGATATTTGAACCCAAGACTTAACAGTCCAGTGCATCCAGGTTTTCCATGGTGGTCTAGCTTCAATTGACTCATGATTTCAGCTAGTGAAATTTCTAAAGTCTCCATAAAACCCCCTTCTGATTAGTATTAGTATTGGTATTGATATTATTAGTATTGTTGTAGTGAATAGGAACACGAGTGGGAACAATCGAATGTATTTGAGCACAAAATTACAGAGCATCTCGTTAAAATCTGAGGACCATATATAGTAAATAGTTAATTTGCAAAATATCAATCCATCGTCTCAAACTTCACTGTTCCTTTTGCAAATCAGTCGATTGTCTCAGCATTTTCTTACCTATTGCGTTCTTTCCTTATCGATCTTCTGCTCAAATACATTGTGTGTTTGACCACCGTTATATACTACTTATATGGATATAAGTAACCCACACTACAATGTTATCTACGGCTTCTAAAAGTTAACCGTGTGGAGTATAATCAGATTATTGTAATAATATATCAATACAGTACCGACTAATAGTCGATGGGCTACATAGACTAATGTCATGTCTTGGTTTGAACATTTACAGTATTCTGTTGACTTAATACTATACAAACTAGAACTACCCAATGAGGTAGGCGGTGATTTGACCAGCGTAATATATATCTCAGTCATTTCAGTCGATGAATACCTAACAAAATCATCAATCGATTTACCACATTCATCTCATCATAACTAAGTTCAAACATTGTATATTCTTTATTCATTCAACTTGAATTATTTTAGTAAATAGTAAAATCACCATAAGATACAAAGAACCAACAAAACGTTTATTTCAATGGTTAAGATCATGAGTCAGTTGAAGCTAAACAACCATGAAAAACCTGGAAACACTGGACGGCCGTTTCGTCCTATTGTGGGACTACTCCTCAGCAGTGCGTAACCCGACCTCGCCCCCTGCAAGATTCGAACCCAAGACCAGCTGGTTTTGCGCACGAGCACTTAATCACTAGACCACTAAGCCAGAATCCAGTGATGTTAATGTCTAACGTCTATAATGTAAAATGGTTACAGACATATTTATCTCTACATTACTTTTTATCTATATATGTTCACTCTTATTCCGAATTTACCTACATTTGTAACATAAAGA